GAAACCCTCTCTCCAGGGAGAGGTGGAGGGGGAGAGGTAATTCTCACGGATGGAAACAGAAAGTGAGAACAAAAAAAGAACTTCTCACTAGGGCGCTGAAACACTCCGCCAAAGGGCTGGTGGGAGTGTTTGCCCACTTTTTTTTTTTTTTTTTTTTTTGTTTGTTTTTTTTTTTTTTTTTTTTTTTTTTTTGTTTTTTTTTTTTGTTTTTTTTTTTGTTTTTTTTTTTGTTTGCTTTGTTTTTGTTTTTTTTTTTGTTTTTTTGGCTTATTTTTAATTCACGCGCTTTTGGTTGTTCGGATAACGTTATTCGCTTAAGACGTATATTAAATAACACCCGGTTATTCGGATATCCATTTTACCGCTATGACAGACAAATACAACCATATAGAAAAAATGCTTGGTAAATTAAAAATCGTAGCCAATACGATGCAAATTGATACACAAACCGGTGTAGGCGGAACGGAAAACGAATTGGCATACTTTCTAATGCGGGAAAAAGGCCGTCAATGGGACGAAATCATGGACCCCTTACTTGGTGATGAAGGTTCGGGTTCGGTTCAATCGTGCATCCGCGCGCATAGATTAAATTAGGAATTGCTTAATGTTAATGTCGAAAATATGAAACGATTCTCTGCGTAAATGCCGGGAAAAAATATGCAAAAATGCGTATTCAAAGAAACCCACGTTCTCACGATATAACATCCAATGTGGTTCTTAAGGTTTTTCAGGTAAAACGCGAAACTCGGGGAATATCGTCTTCCCCCAAGAACCCCGTCACATTATGAAACAAAAAACGCCCGTCAATGAACATTTTTCGTGCAAAACAATGATTCACGATAGTCGCTTTTTTTGGAAAAAAAAGCAAGATTGCGAGCACAATTTTCGGACAATAGTGAAAAAAAGAAACATATCATGGGTAACCTTGACAAAACGAGGCAAAACTCGTATACGCAACATGTTGAATAAAATTCTTATTATACTTCTATTATACAGGTTGTTCGGGACGCGAGGTACGCAATAAGACAATTTTGGCAGGATTTGCCTTCGGATTTTGAGGGAAAAAAAAAAACGCTCGAATGATTGCGACATATAAATAGGCATGACAACCCTCGATACGTAGGACATGATGAATTCACCAACTCACAGAAATTTGTCCAAACATAGGGGGCACAACAGACATTGAGGTCTTTTTCCGGATCATACGACCAACGAATGCCACTACCAAAAGAAGCGGGCGGTCACAACAAATAAATAATGTTGGCGGCTTCGATGGCGACATTGCCGCATTCACCTTCATCTGGGAGAAGATCTCGGCTATGCGTGGCCTAGTCCTGCAAGTCTGTGCCGGAAAAAAACATTACTAATATATTGCGGGAGGAAGTCGAAAATAATGACACGATTTCGCAATAAACGTATAACTACCACGAGGCCCAACACACAACTTGGGGGTCCCAAGATACTGGAGCAAGTGTGCCGAGATGCAAAACCATCCGAACATGATACCTTATTGAGAAGCGCTACTCTATTGTGCACTGCTCAGGACGTGCGGCAAACGCTGGTTCAACGTACCTCTCGGAGTTCGTGGAAAAAAAACCAGCGCTGGAGCCGAAAAACGAAATCCAATTTCATAGTGTCCACGTTTTTTACGTTCGTCTTTTTCTGGCGGACACGTGCTGCGTCGAGATCAACTTTTTCAAAAGTAAAACTTGAATATGTGGAGCTTCTGGTGGACAACGACTCGGGCAAAGATATCGATCTTTCATCTGGGCTGTCACACGTCCACGAAGATACGCAAACACCTGCCAACGTGGGCAGAACCTACGCGATGGAAGCGTCGGACTGGGCAAAGACACCACGACGTGTATACATTTTCAACATATCGACTCTCTACGTGGACGGCTTCGCAAACAAGGCGGCCCAGCATCGGGCACATCAAACGATACAACGCATGCGCTTAACCAATCCGAGAACAATTGGTGTCGATCCAGACGCAAATATCGACCTCTTAGGAATGCTTGTTTTCGGTATTGGAATGTCGAAGGCACATCATAAGTATTTTATCAAAATTGTTATCTCGCCAGATTGTCTAGCAGCAGTGCTGACGCAACTGGAAGGTTGTCATTGCGCCATCCAATGTAATCAATTTCGAACTGATGTTCGATAGAGTGGATTCTATACGCCTCCGGGTGCCAGGAGGACTTCTTAATATACTCAGTGCGTGCTCGCCGCACCCGGGAGACGACGCTGACGAGCGACGTGCATTTTTCGATCGCGCGGTATCCGTGTGGCCGAAGCGCAGCATCTTACCAGCACCATGGCCTTCGGCGACTATAGCGCGAACTCTTTCGCCAATAATCCGGAGACGAAACAATACCGGGAAAGTACGCGTTCGAGTGCAATTTGCCCAAAAGCACAAAAAGATTTGAACAACGACCACCTGATGGATGCTCTTGCCAGGCCACCGAGTCCGCCACTGCCAGCACCTTCTTCGATCACGGCGCGAACGAGCTGGTCACATACTACGGCCCGCAAGGTGATCTACCCCAGGATGCATACGCACAAAATGACTACCTACCAGACCACCCCAACCCAACCCGAAGACCCGAATTTGACCCAAATTTCGGGTTGGGGGGGGTACGGGTTCCATGTGTTTTTTCAATGTTCCCCGACCCCCCCCCCACTGGAAATCGAGGATAAATTTGGGCCTTCGGGTTGGGTTGGGGTGGTCTGGTGGGTGGTGACAAAGCTTTTCGCAACTCGACCAGCCGTTTAGTGGAACAACCACTCACTCCTGGACAACATCGCCGATGTCCTCCGTGCGAGGCGCGACGTGCCGCTGGCTTCGCGGCATTTCTCATTGCAGGTTCGGTCGGCAACCTCATTGGACACGTCTGGTGGTAGACGCACCAATTGTGTAAACCATGCGCAAGCGCTACGGAATCATCTAGCGTTGGCAACGCAATACTGCGATGCGCTCTGCGGGGCAATGCATGCGCAAGATGCGCCTGCAAACTTAGACGGGCTCGCAGACCAGATCACAATGGCGATGCAAAATGCTTCTGGAAGCATGGGCGGCCGTCAACAACAGCCACTCCGGCCATGGATCTCGACGAAAACATTGAATTGTTTAGCTGCCAGAGATACTGCGCGCCACAATGGAAACATAAAAGAAAAAACGATTGAACAAAACTATTCAAACTGCAATCGAAACAGATCGACGACACTGGCTCGACGAACAACTTCGCGATGGGCTGTGGCGAGCTGTTCGAACACTCTGGAAAACATGTGGCGAACAAACAATTTCAAATCAAGAACCCACGCGGTAAACAGGTTGACAGCAGCATGCGATCAGAAACATTGGCAAATTATTTTGAACATGCGCAGTGGAAAATTACAAACCCGGACATCAATCCCAGCGCGACCCAGCCGCTTGGAGCAGAGCTGCCCGTCGACACGAACGCATTCACCATGGAAGAGTTGACCAGTGCGATCAGAAAACTTTCGCTTGGCAAGGCTGCAGGCGCAGACAAACTACCGTCAGAGTTTTGGAAATGGTTGTCACAAAGTACAGAAGCGTTGGAACAATTGCTTCTATTAGGCCAAACGCGCTGGGAGGCTATTGACATACCTACTGACTGGAAAACTGCGTGCGTCGCTCTGTTGTGCAGAAAAGGCGATGAGAGCCTCCCGCAAAACTACAGGCCGATTGCATTACTTCCAGTGGGCTACAAAATTGCAGCTTCCATACTTCAAGAAGAATGCAATATGGAGGTGCCAAAGAAAGGCTACGAACAGCTCAATTTGGTTTCAGACCTGGGCGGGGCACCACGCAAGCTACATCGTGCGCCGGATGTTTGACGCTGCATGTGCATCAACCTCGTCTGGAACCAATGCTATGATCAAAGCCCTCCACCGATTCGGCATTCCAGGCGGGCCGTGTGGTTGATTTTTGTTGCACGGATGCGTCGCGATCGCACTTTTACTTTAAAGGAAGAAGTAAGGGGCTCGACGACAAGATGCCACCACGCGGGAATTGCGCGACCATAAGATGGCGTACCACAGTGTTCAAGTCAAGGAACCACCTTTCGTTGTATGCTCGGACCTGCTGTACGCTGGCGACACCATGCCGGTCAGCAGCGACACGAGCACCTCACAACACCTAGTGGACGCAGTTACCACGCGATGCGGGTGCCGACGCGAGGTCAAGCTCATTCCACAAGAAAAACCACCCGACCCCCTTTGGGCCAGCAACGGAGGTCACTCCGGCGAAGGGTCACTCTTCCCAGACCCCCGACGTCATGATTTTTTCATGACGCGACCCCCAGAGGTCTGGACCTCTTCGCCGGGACCGCTTTTCACCCCGAGTCGTTTTTTGACGGTCCCGAGGGCCGGTAAGGGCCCCCGGAGGCCGAAAACATAGAAACCCCCCCCGTCGTGATTTTTTCACGACTCGAGGGGATCTGGGTTACGTGTTGTCGATCGCTGCCCACCGCGGGCTTCGAGCCGCCGGCTCGCTGCCCGAGTCAATGCCCTCGCGGCCTCGTTGCCCCGTGCGGGTCTGCGAGATGTCCGCTCGCGGCCTCCCCCTCCCGCCTCCCTCCCCCTCCCCCTCCTGCTCTCCCCTCCACCTCCTCCTCCTCCTCCCCCTTCCTCCTCCCTCCTCCTCCTCCTCCTCCTCCCTCCTCCTCCCCTCCTCCTCCTCAACCTCCTCCTCCTCCTCCTCCTCCCCCTTCTCCCCCTTTCCTCCCCCTTCCTCCTCCTCCTCCTCCTCCTCCTCCTCCTCCTCCTCCTCCTCTTCCTCCTCCTGCTGCTAGCCGCCCCTTGACGCCCCGCTGCCTGCTCGCCTCGCTGCTTCGCCACCCTGCCGCCACGGCCGCCCCAGCTACGCCCATCCGAGTAAAGTGTAACCCTCGGCACCTGGCTGGCTTCTCGAAACGGTTGGTCTGAACACTCCGTTCAGAAGTCGGAAAGCCGGTCGCTGGGGCCAGCTCTTTTTTTCATGCCGGGACTGCCAGCTTTGGGCCGCCGCTCGCATCAGAAGTCGTAGAGCTCGTGCCTGGAGCAGCCGTCGGAGGTCACCTCGCTGTACCTGTCCACGGGCATGAACTCCTGCTGCGCAGCCACGAGGCTGAAGCCGCTGTGCCCGTAGGGGCTGAAGCCGCAGCGGCGCGCCGCGTCCCAGCACTGGACCAGACCCTCTGCCCTCGCGAGCACCAGGAAGTCGCCGAGAGTCCTCCACAGCAGGCTGGCGTCTGCGCCGCCGACATCGTTGATGTGGAGCGGGTCGTCCGCAGTCTCGAACAGCGGCAGCAGCGACGTGCTCTGCAGCGCCTCGCGGCGCGCGGCGGCAGAGTCGGAGGTGAAGAAGATCCCCCAGCCGCCCGCGGGGCCGAGCACCTCGAGCGCGAGCTGGGCGGCGCAGGCCAGCGCCTCCTGCACCATCTCCGAATTCGGGCTGTCGCTGCCCTGCATGCCCTGGTCCCCGAAACGCAGGTGCACGGCCACGAAGCGCGCCGGGACCGCGCCCAGGCCCGGGGAGAGCAGCACATGCACGTGCTCCGCGAGGCTGCTGTAGGCGGGCGTGAAGGAGAAGAGGAAGTTCATCGCGCAGCCCACCATGTAGAACCGCGGCAGCAGCTCGCCCAGGGCGTGGGTGGCCGAACGGACGTCGGCGGGCACCCACGCCTCGCCCGACTCCAGGGCGCTCTGCAGGACGCGCGGGTTGCCATTCGCCTGAACGCTGAGGCAGTCCGCGGCCGAGTTCTCCAGCACCAGCTGCGCCAGGTCGCGGCCGAGCAGCAGGAGGGAGGACTCGTTGCGCCGCAGCGGGGCGCAGGAGCTGGGCAGCTCGCCGGGGGGGCGCCAGTCTATCCTGCCAGAGGGCCCCAGCAGCGCCGCCAGGTCCTGCCCGTGCCGCTCCCACTGCAGGAAGAGGGCGCGGCCGGTCAGCATGGCAATGTACAGGGCCGACGCGAGGCCCTTCATCTCGTCCGCGAGGCCGTTGCACGTCTCCGCGTCCAGGCAGTGCCACAGCAATGCCCTACCTGGCCGGCCCTGCTCCAGCTCGGCGCGCTGCCGGCGGTGCAGGCCCGCGTACTCCTGCCACAGGCCGTCCCCGAACGAGCACACGGCCTCGTTGGCGGCGCGCAGAGGGGGTTACTCCAGATCTCTTAACAAAAGGGGGGGGGTCTGGACCCTCCAAGACAAGCCATTTCAGACCCCCCCCCGTGGGGGAACCCTCCAAAACACCGTCCCCAGACCCCCCCCAGGCCCTCCAAGATAGCCTGGAAGAGACCCCCCTCGAAATGAGACCCCCCTCCCTTTATTGCGAAATCTGGAGTAGGGAGAGGGGGGAAGGCTTCTTAGAAGGAGGCTGCTCCTTGGGAGCCGCGGGCCTCACATCTGCAGACGAGGCCCGCGCCTTCTCAGAAGCAGAGGTGCTTCTGAGAAGCCTTCCCCCCTCCCCCCGCTCCCCTGTGCGCGCCGGCAGGCCTCGGCCGTCGAGCTGACTCCGACGCCGGGCGGCCGCTCCGCCAGCTGCAGGGCGACGCCCTGCGGGCCCTCCCGCGCCGGGGGCGCCTCCACGAACGCGGGCGCTGGCGGCGGCCCCGCCCCCGCCCGGAGCCAGGGCCCCAGCGGCCCCAGCGGCACCGGCCGGGTCCGCGCGAGGTGCACGCAGGCGGCGCCTGCGAGGACGGCGGCCACGCAGAGCGGCAGGCAGCATGGAGCGAATGCCCGCCCGCCCGGGGACCCCACCTGGCGCAGAAGACGCGGGAAGACGGGAGGGGCGCACGCTTTCGGAGGCCTGCGGGGATCTCTTGGGTCGGCGCGGCGCTGCTCCCCCCGCCGCCACCCCCCCCTCCCTGGCGTGCGGAGGCGCCGCCAGGGGCGCGGGGAGAGCGAGCCTGGCGCGGACCCCAAGAAACCGGCGCTTGCTTCTCACCCCCGCGTCGAGCTGTGACAGCCTCTGGGGGCCCGGCGACGGCCCCCGCAGAGGCCAACAAACGCGAAACACCTCCGCGCTGAGTCTGTCGAGACGCTATAGAGGCCTGAATCTGGGACCCAAGAAGCCCTCAGATCTGAGGCTGCCTGAAAAAATGCAGCACCGCCGAACACCCACGACCAGAGGCACAGACCCCATCCTTCTGCAGCACGGCCCCCGGGGGCCCGAAAACGCAAACGCCAGGTGCGACAGCACGTTGCGAAGCCCGGCCCCTGGGGG